AAAAAACGAGTAATTTTAGGCTCTCGCCGAAGTAAAGGCATTTTGTTCGTTCTAATGTTAATATTCGTGATCAGCATCGTCGATTACATATGTCTGGACGCTTTTAATTGAAAATGAAAATAAAAAATTTTTCAAAAATCCTGAGGCGGACCACAGGCCTCAAAAACCTGACCGAGAGCTGGGGCGTCAAAACGGCCTTAATGGCCCACGTCCTTTAATTCTCTAAAAGATATCTGCTAGGCACAACTGCGTACAGTTCGATCTTCAGAGTGAAAAACATAAAAAACCGTTGTTGATGTCGAAGCCCGGTTTCTAGAAACCCGAGTTCAGCGGATGAAAATTAGAAAATTAAATTTACTATTTATCATGTTCGAAGCTCGAGCCTCAGAAACGCTTACTTCAAGAAAATGCATCTTTTTATATTTTTGATTAAATTTATCAGTACCGATCAATACTTTCAGTATTGGTATTGATGGCATTGGTACTGTTGCTTGCTTACATTACTTATTCCCAATTGATTTAAGTATTTTAGCAAAAAGACATGCCTCTAACTGTAACTTCTCATTTGTAATACATTTTTATGCACGCCAGAGTAAACTGACCAATTTTCGATTAAAACTATCCTTAATCACTCGAGTACTGATGACATCAATTAATGTCATAAAAAAGAATCTATGCTCACATATGTGAAGAATGTAATAACTGAAATGGTATACATCCATTCGCTTCCGCTCAATAAAACGTGAAAAACTATCAGAACTCATGAAACTAAACAATTCTTTGTACTGGCCTATTCTCTTAACCTAGGTTACTTTCTTCTACATTATAATTGCATATTAGCATTCTTATTCTAAACGATATGAAAGCTGATCACTGAGAGACAGTTGAATGAAAATGATGCGATACTGTGGTAAAGTATACACGTTAATCCTCTTACCGCAATATACCGTACGATACCGTCTTCATTTTCTAATTTTTTTCCTTTTGAAAATTCTTGTCGAATACGATTTAAATAAAAATCAACGTCTGTAGAGTTTTACTATATCTTAATAAATCATGGTAAAGACGTAATATTTCTAATTGTCGAGTCATGACACATGTACGCCAAAAAAAAAACCCGTAATAATCTGAAGGTATATAATAAATGAAATAAAAGACATATCAAGTTATTCTTGTATCATATCGAGTAAGATAGGTTAAAAGGAATAGTTTTGACTTTGCTCTAAATAAAGTTGTCGGGTTGTGGATGAGACAAATAAAAATGAAGATAGAGACAAATATCCATATCAAATTAAAAGGCATATCACTGTGTTTTCAGAATATTTGAAAGAAAGATTATAAAAGTGTCCAGTTTTTGTTCAACCCGAGTCTGCACTTACGATTAGTGAAAGACAACTTCTTACTTACGTACTTGAAAAATGTAAGCACTTTCTATGGAGTTTTTCAACGTTTATTACATTCCGGGGTATAGCAAAAGTAAAATAGAGGACATCTTGATGTTCTGATATAGTTTTGATTGGGTTATGAATACCCAGGTGATTGAATCCTACTGTCCGATCGTACAAGATCATATACGAATCGTACGAAATCATGTACGATTTACATACGAATCGTGGTATCTGGTTCGTACTATACGATTTCATACGAAGCTGTATGATTGTATATGATCTTGTACGATCGTATTATACGAGCCAGAGGACAAATCAGATACCACGATTCATATATGATTTTCATACGATTTTGTCTGATTCAGATACGATCGTATACGATTTATTTGACCTGGGTATTTAGTCTTTAGTAGAAACAACCAGAGATGGGCTGTTTCGCTTAATATAGGTTTAAATAGGTTTTTGACATTTTTCCGAAAAATAAACGCTCACACGAGAATCAGTATGATCAGTAATCTATGAACCATCGGGTTTTTAGGTTATTAGAAGTCAGAGAAGAGCAGTTCTGTGCTTCTAGGAAAGTTGATGCCACACCTCAACCGTGATGGATGAAGAGTGCGTATGACTCCAATTTTTTAGATGTTTTGGGCTATCTATCTATGAAAGAAAACTAAAATATTTGTATGGTAACTTCGAACTCACGATCCAGTTTTCTAAAGGCCCCGTGAAAAAACAAACTTTCGCAAAAGATTTTGAAATTTTTTTGCGTACCATCATGTATATCGGTCTTGACTATCGAAAGGCGAAAACTAGCAAGTGTAAATTACAAGACAAGTTTAGCTTGAATCGATTCTTTATAATGTAACAAGCAAAAAGAGGATTCGAAAAACAATAGTTTTATTTTCCATTCACGAAAAGGACTGTTTGAACACAAGAAACAAACATTCTATAAAAACAGCCTGTTCACATGAACAAGTTAACAAAATTTTATCTCATTAATTAACTAATTATTCATCATTTAACTAATCGTCCTCTTTTAATTGCACGTTTCTTTTGTTTTGCTTTCTTTTCATCTTTTCGTTTTTGAATATTTCCTACTCGTTTTTGTTGTTTATCACTATGTTGTTTTTCTGTTTGTTCTATACGTTCTTGCCATTTTTTCTGTGACCGTTGTTTTAATTTTGTTTGTTTTTTAATTGATTTTTTCAACATTTGAACATTATCACGAACTTTGGCACCTTGTGCTTTTAATAGAGCATTTTCCCAATGTACCTTGGAATCTAATTTATGTGCTTCGACTGGATTTTCATCACGAATTTGTGACAATGATGATTGTTCATTTTCAACTTTTTTCAATATATCAGTTAATTTCTTTGATTTTGGTTGATTTTTTTTATTCTTCTTTACACTTTGATCACCAAAATCAAATTTACCAAATGTCAATGTAGTTAATTGAGGAATATTTGTTTGTGAATTGCCTTGGTGTTGCGTAGAATCTATAACACAAAGACAAAATGTATATTAATTAACAAATAAAACTGACTCTTTAGATCTAAAGTGACTTTTTTTCATCAAAACATCGACTATCAAACCTACCTATACAGGACTTTTCTGTACACAATTTTTACCTGAGGTGGAACTTGGTTCCCATATGTTTGTAGTCTTTGGAGTTGCAGAAGATGTTGAGGTCTTTTGCTTCTTAGTTTTTTTCCTTAATTTTATTGATTCCTCCGAACGTTTTCGTTTTTTGCTCTTTCCATCTCCTATAAAAAATTCTTTAAAGATAAATTTTTTCGATTTTATTAGCACATACACTAACCTGATTTTGATTGATTTCGATGCGTCATTTTTGAATGGAGTTTTTCTAACAGTTCATCGTGACTCAATGCTGTTGTGTTTGTCTTTGATGTTCGTTGGCCAGTTGTTTTTTTGGTTTCTAAAGCAAAAGGTGCACATCCGAAATATAAAAAGGGCAAATCGGAAATGATCTGACAACTAAGTTATAGCACAACCATAATATATTCTGAACTTTCAAACTTTTAATTATTTTCCAACACAACACGACAATGAATTTGAAACGGCACGATCTGCATAAGTTGAGCAGAAGAATTATGATTAGCTATCTGTTTAGACTTACTCGTATTATGCCGTGCTAAAAATCGATAAATAGCCGATGTTGTTCTGACTGATTGTATTTCAGCTAATTCAAGTTCACCTCGCTTCATTTGCTTGGGGTTTTTTCGTTTTTGAGATTGTGGTTGTTGAAGATATTTTTGTTTTATGCTAACCCACTGCTCTAATTCGTCTTGAGCAATATACGTTTCTGGACGAATGAAATCAACTAATGACAATAGAGTAGTATTTAAATTCATAAAATGTTCAATTTTTGGCTGTCGATTTTGTTTTGCTTCGTCATTCTCATCTTCTTTTTCGTCAAATTTAACATGAACCATTCTTAGTTTATCTAAAATATAGAAATACTTTGATGATAATTTTGTAGTTACTTTTAGTAAATGATGTCTTAAAGAACTCGTGATTTGAAGTGTAACTCAAACTGAGTGTTATTACATACATAAAAATCCTTTTCTCTTTACAGAAAACACATCATAGAACACATATAGAAATCGAATGGAAAATTTGTATTGCCTATAGAAACTTTTGCTTTGTCGTCCACGCCGCTCACTCTTTGTTTACTGAATGACAGTTGACTTTTTACCCTCCAACTGATATGGGCGGAATCGCTACAAAAAAATTAGCAAAGTACACGATCACAAAACTAATTCTATATTATTAAAGAGAACTTTATGAACTATAGACCAACGACAATTTACGTTATAAAATCAGGTTTTGATCAAATACTTTGCTATTTCCTTGTAACAGTTCGTTGGACAGGTTAATTCGACAAAATTAGTGACAAATAAATAAATAATACCACCTATTAGTTGGGACCATGACTTTTATCTAGAACGGGATATTTTTGGCAGACTTTTTTTGTTAATTGCGTAAAAAGTGAGGTGACCGAGAGGTAAACAGACGTTGCCATTCGAGTTGGTTTGCCAAGACCTAGTTTTTTATCTTGTCGTCATATAGCGGACTAAACCTTTCACTCAGATGTGTCTATGCAAAAACCACTGTATCCAGATGGGATATTTATCTGATTTTGAATATCCAAAATAGAATTTAGACAGACGCAAGAGAGCCAAAAGGTTTCAAAAGACCAAAACCCAGGAGGTTTTATAGATCTTAGACAAAGTCAAATAGGACGTTCTAAATATGAAAGACGCACCAGTAAGAAGTAAGGTAAAATTTGATGTTTATGCTAACCAGATTCACACATCTTTATTATCTAACTCCTCAGTTTTAACGATTACAAATTACTAGTAGAGAGGTGGCTACAGTATCCCCTGAGTAAAATAAAACGTACCATAGGGCCATTCATTCATCTCATACTATTTTTACTGACCTCTCGAATTACAATTACCCAATAGGATTCTTGCAAAAATAAGGAGGTGAAAGTCGTCTACATGATTGGGCACTTGTGGGCAATCGGTGCATGGCTGAATGAGTCTTCAAAAGTACATAAACCTTATGGTTTAGCTGTTTCCCGGCAAGCGGGAATTTTGAAAAAGGCTAGCCGTCAAATCAAAAACTATGTAAAAACGACAAAATAGCTACCGAAATAAAGAGATTTAATAAAACAGAAAGAAATAAAAGTGTAGTGAAGCTGTTTTTATGCATAGAACTATTCAAGAAAAGCTCTTCTAAGGAGAAGATTTCTCGCCCCTGAAACTTGTGCTTTTGGTGTTGTTCTTGGATCCAAGAAGTTAATATTGCACAAGAGCGACAGTTTTTGAGCAAAAAGAAAAGCAGATGTAATGAGCCAATTTTTTATCTCTAATTGAATTCAAATCCTGTTCGATGAGATGTTCTTAGAATGATGTTGTTAGTATTTTTGGACACTTTGATTTGTCTTAGATAAGCAAAAAAAATTCGAGTTTCTGAGACCCAAAATCGCCGGGCTTTGTCTTTTTATTAAACGTTAAATTTAATAAATAATTAATACTATTTTGGTGAAAACCTTAGAGGATGTTCTGGAACGTTTTTTAAATATTCAGGAGTCTACCGGTAAAAATACAGCCATTTGATCACGAGCTACGCGATGGCAATATCCACATCTGCAGAATGATGAATTATAGTCGTGTTTTCCCTAAAACATAATTTGTTCAAACTTCCAGAATATCTCTCACTGGCACATCAGCTCGATAAAATGGTTAAAAATATTCATTTTCACTCGGAAATAGCTGCAAAAATATGTTTGTGTTCGTTAAAACAACACAAAAAATGATGAAGAAGATTTTCAAAAAGTCAGAATTCCTTGCGTATATAGAGTGTCATGTGCTGTATCAAATCCATTTTGAATGAGAGCTTAAGACCTTTATATTTAATTAGAAAATGAGTTTTAATTTTTAGTAAACCGCAACCTTTGAGAGTACTGAAGCCAGCAGCGGGGAAATATCAACATCTTAGTGGTCTATTAAAGATTTAGATGTGAACGCTCTCGGAGTTAAGTCTGAAAAGTTTGTAGTGTAGCCTTAGATCGTGGCCTTAGATAATAGGACTTCTGAATAGTTCTGTTTTTATGTTATGTTTAGCCCTAAACCCTTGTACGAACTCGGTTGATTCTGTGAGACGTAAATCTTTCGAACGAACATATTTCTCTGTTTCTTTATATAACTGTGCTAAATAATTTGTTTCTTACATTTCGTTGACCAACTTTAAGTATCACCCATATAGATATTAAGAAAATACGATGCAAAATAAATAGTTATGGATTAACTTTTGCAATTGTAAAATTCATCCGATCCAATAAGGATGATAGTTTAGCTGTTCGTTTGGCTATTGGTGAAACACAAATAGTTCAAGACACAAGGCAATTTTTAATTGATAATAACGTTCGACTAGATTCATTTAGTCAGGTACAAGGGAAGAGAAATTCACAAGTAATATTAGTGAAAAATTTACCGTTAAATACAAGTGAACATGATTTGACAATCCTGTTTGAAAAATATGGTCAAGTGAATAAAATTGTCTTACCACCCTATGGTTATTGTGCTCTCGTTTGTTTTGAACATCAACAAGAAGCAAGACAAGCATTTAAACAATTAGCATACACAAAATTTAAAGATAATAGACCATTGTATTTGGAATGGGCACCTATGAACGTTATAGGAATAACAAAACCAGCGAAAGAGGTAGTGACATACGCCTTCATCTCTAGTTTGCTCACTTGCTTCTCAGTCCGATAATCTTTAAATCTTCGAGTATACTCGTTATTTTTAGGGTATAACAAACTTTATCGTATATAAAAAACTTTATTCAGCTAAGACAGCAGTATAACACATACATTGTTATATTGTTTGCTAAAACTGAAACAGAATATATACTTCTACTTATCTTTAGTCATATTTCGCTTGTTTCCATTTTCAGGAATCAATTGTTCATAGTGAAGATCATAATGCAAACCCAACTACTGTAGAACAAAAAGAGGTCGTCACTCATATCGAAGAAGAGGAAGATGATGATGAAACGTTTAATTTATACGTTAAAAATCTTAATTTTAATACAACTGAGCAAGAATTAATTCAAGTAGATATTTAATCATGCTTTTTCTATTAAACTTTTTTTTATTTTTTCTTCTAGCATTTTTCATCAATCGGTCCATGTAAAGTATTCATAGCAAAAAAGAAAGATCTAAAACAACCTGGAAAATTTTTATCAATGAGCTATGGTTTTGTTGAATTTAAATCAAAAACATTTGTTGATGAAGCATTAAAACGTTTACAAAACAGTGAATTGAATGGACATAATTTAGAATTGAAACTAGCGTAAGATGCGTAGAGTATTGTTCGAGGAAAATAAGTTAAAATGTTTACTTTTATTTTAGTTCAAATGTGAAAACAAAACGAAAACGTCAATTGGAAAAGAAACAACGAACAACAAAAATTCTTATTAGAAATATACCGTTTCAAGCAAATGTCAGAGAAATTCGAGAATTATTCAGGTGAGAATGAAACCACAATTCTTTTTTTAAACTCTAATTGTTTTGTTTCTAGTGTATTTGGTGAACTTAAATTTGTTCGTTTACCAAAAAAAGTCAATGGCACACATCATCGAGGATTTGGTTTTGCCGATTTTGTTAGTAAAAATGATGCAAAGGTACTTAGAAGAAGAAAAAAACGACGCTTTTTTTTTCTGAAGAACGAACTATATTTCATTTTAGAATGCATTCGATGCATAGTACTCATTTGTATGGTAGAAGACTTGTTCTGGAATGGGCGGTTGAAGAAAGTGAAACGACTGAAGGTTTAAGACGGAAAACGGCAGCAGAATTTGATGGTAGTTATGAACTGAAATTCTTCATTTAAGAACAAAAATCACTGCCTGTTTTTTTGTTTTGTTCTAGATGGCACAACCGAGAAACGTTTTAAACGATCGAAAATTCTTGGTGGACTTCGTGAACTTGCTGCTAAAGGTGTTTGTAGCGCAGAAGGGGAACAGAGCACAGAAAATGTGAATCCAATGGGTGATGAAGAGGATGATGGAAATTGATGAATTATACTTATTTCGATTCTTTTATGGCGATTTGTCAGTGGAAACTAGTGGCAAATGAATATTGGCGATGATTATATTTTTAGTGCTGTTTATTATTGACTGTGTTTTTCATGTTTCATTGTTTCGTAAACATTGTTTTAAATAAGGATTTTTTTTTGTTTAAATAAAAAACAATTGCTAGCATTTCTTGACTATATTTGTTATTTGATCAATTCTTTTCTCTAGTATTCAGCTGTTTTTACATATATAAGAAAAGCTCCAATTTCACGCATACAGTCATCTACAGACTAAGGATGCCATTTACTTGAAAAAACACCATGTTTTAAACAGATAAACACAATCAACAAAATGAAACGTATTTGTTTGTCACAAACATAGCGCTTCTCAAGTCAATGAGGAGGCTTTGGGCTCTACTTGGAAATGATGAGTAAGTTAGGTGGATCCACACAGAAATGACTCTCTTGTTTGTTATCACTTTAATATGTTTTGCGATATCTAAAGTATTACGATTATGTCACTTGATATTCTTTTTGAGCTACTAGTCTAATAAATTGACTAATTTGTATCAGTGTGTACTATAGGATCTGAGTTGTAACAGTTTCGAGTATATAATTCATTTTAAAGAAAAAAGAAAGAGATAGTTATTGTATTTCGTTCGAATAGAATTATGATGAAAAGAAAGATTATTTTAGTAAGAAGAAAAAAAATATGTTTGTTTTTTCAAAAGGAAAACGATGAATGAGTTTTTCGTACCAAACTGAATGAAGACGAACGAGATCATTTATTTTAAATAGTCATATAGAAGTTATATGACAATGCTACTGTTTTATATCATTTTTTTTTCGTTGTTTTAAATGCACTACATCCGTTAGAAAGTAAGGTGTGGGTGTCTTTTGTGCTATTTCTAGACTTTGAAATATTTTCTCAGAGAAAAACAAAATAGTGAATTGTTTTCTCGGTATTCTTCTTTTTTTGTCAAATAAGTTAGAGGAAAAAAGTTGATTTTTGATTTTCATTCACAAAATCACAAGCGCATATCATACACTTCTAACAAATAAAACTATACAATTAGATATTTATGATGTTTGTCTTGATTTGATACTAACATGGTGTGATGTGTGCTACTATTGTCCAGATAACAATTTGTACTTAATAAAAGCAAAATATTTTTTTCTACCATCGCACCTAATTCAGTCGAAATTTTTGGATATTCTACATCAGCTGTTATATAAATACCTGTTCGTGTTGTTACGCATTCTTCTCAAGAAAAACAAAAAAATAATTTTTTTAAGGAATACTTTGATGATAATTTTGTAGTTACTTTTAGTAAATGATGTCTTAAAGAACTCGTGATTTGAAGTGTAACTCAAACTGAGTGTTATTACATACATAAAAATCCTTTTCTCTTTACAGAAAACAC